GCAGAAAAACTGAGTGTAGGTCAGACATGAAACAACTGTTTTCACACCAGAGTTGGCTGATAACGTCCAGCTGAAGGAAGAAAAATGTTCTTATTAATTCTTTATCAGCTGATGCTATGTCCCAGATCCCTGGAGAAACAAGCCTGTGTGGACATTCTCATTCATCCAAGAAAGTGAACTGCTTTTTGGAATATTTACTTTGAGATACGAGATAAGACTCAACACTTTGAAAGCTAATTTTTCTCCGACCTATATAACTGATGTTAAATCCACAGATATGTGGTATGTGTGTGCACGGAGGCTGCCACATACATTACACACATGCACCCTTGCTCTTTGCACTAGTGAGCACATCTTGATTTAGTGAACATTAAGAGCTTTTGTATACAATTTGGGCGACTGAGAGAGAATTAATTACAGAAATACTGTAGTTTTGGCAAATGTTGGAATTAGCTTAAAGCACAAAGACTGGTAACAGTGGGAAACAGCTAGCTTTGCCAAAGGCATCAAAATCAGTCTACCTGACCAGGCTCTTCTGTTCTTCAATATAATACCTCACAAAATCACGTTACACTTTTGTATAGGTTAAACAAATTCTATATAATGTGTCAGTTACCAAGCTTTAGAGGTGGTTGAACAGAGCCAGGCTAACTGTTTCCCTTGTTCCCATCTTTGTTCTAAGTTAAACTAACCAACTTGTGAAGAAATGTGATGCTCATAAATATAACTACGTAAGAACAAACATATGCACACACACTTTTTTCCTCTCTTTCTCTGTTACACCCACACAAACACGGGGATGCCATCATCACTGTAGGGTCCTGCTTTCCCTCTGTGAGTAGTAGGGTCTTGGCTGTCCCTGTTGAAAACCTGATTCCTCATTGAATAGGAAGCCCTTGTCCTTACACTGCTCTGTCTACTGTGCTGATTGTGTACTAATGGCACCATCAGACCCCATCTGGTGTCCATCATTTGGATTCATGGCAGGGCCCATCCCAGCAGATACATCAGATTAGTCCCTCTCATCGATTTGTGCCGGCTCGTCATGACTTAGTCAACCCAAGGTGTCTCTTCTATGATATGCTGTCTCCCTGTGATTTGGTTTGCCAACGCTCTAAGTGCATTGAGTGTGACAATAAAATCTTTAATCTAATATGCATCCTAAAGAGAGAGGTGGTGGAGAATAAAAAGAGAGCGAGGGAGTGAGACAGAGAAGGGGGGTAATGTTCTCAATGAACTCAGATGTAATGAGAACAGTTTGTGTCACATTTATGAATATACGGGATGCAGACACCAAATGCCGAATGCTACATTTGGTTTTTGATCCTGACTAATGAGTGTGAGATTTCATGTTTAAGACATAGCATTAAATCATTTGTCAAACAGTCCTCTTAATTACTGACTGATAAATACATAGTAAACCAATACAAAGGGCTTAATTTCAACTCTTGTTGGAACCTTTTTTCTTGTGCATCAAGGACAGTTATGATTATTATCCTCTGAAATAGCCATGAAGATTAATCATCTTTGCTCCAAATGGGTGAGATTCGATTTTCTTGTCATATGTAAGCCAGTCTAATCATATGTTGTAACTTCCTGAAGAAGGCTAGACGCCGAGATGTGTTGAAGTTGCTTTTTTATTACCTTGTTCATTGAACATGCCAATTTAATTAAAGGCATTTTAACTTTTTTATAAGATGAGTGCCTTGGTATTTTCTGTTTGTTGATCTTCTAAGCTTCATACCCGTTACCAAAGCGCACCGTCTTTCTTTCAGATTAGTCTTCTGACTTCTGAACACTAGTTCCAAGTAGCTCTCCTTTCTTTTGCTTTTTTTTACTCCAGTCTAATCTGCGTTTGCAGTTTGAAGCATATGATAGTGTGAATGGGGTTACAGTGCTCTTAGTAATTCTAACTGACAAGGATCCCATTGCCCAGGCTTCTGTGAGCACGTCATATTTATGGATGTGTGAGCAGTATATCAATGAGATCTGTAGCTACAGTGTCTGAATACATCATTACACACATCTTCACTACATTGCTTGATGTGTCCCAGTGCTGCTCTGTATTTCTGTAAACAGCCATATTATTAAGGAAATGCTTCTGGCAATGCACAGTAATGTAATGTAAAAGTGTAGGGATACTTTACAGAAATTTAATAATGAAGGAGGATGAATTTAAAGGGGTCTTGGGAGCAGATGTATTGATTTATGGTTTACGGCATTAAAAGCAAGCCATTATATCTGCAAGGTGCCACTTTGCTTGTATCTATCTAGAGGTTTAGTTTTATATCTTTTTGATGTGATAACATCTCATAAATGATTAATGAAATCTGTGGATGTAATAGGACCCAATTCAGAAATGGTAATTTAATTGTACACCAAGTTTTAATTAATGCTTTGCCAGACACTAAGATGTTTTTGCCTTGCTGTCACATCCCTCTAAATGACACATATTTTCAATAGAACTTGTTCGAAGGATCCGTTTTGCTTTTCATGTTTGTAATTGCCTGTTGGCACGCCAGACCTGTAATGTTGACAACAGACACACTGAGCCACATTCTCACACCTTTTTAATGAGTGCGTGTTATGATGCTGACTCTAACTGTCCTGTTGGCAAAAGAACAATAACACACACACACAAAAAGGTGAGAACCACCCAGCGAGTCAGCTTTTCCACTTCACCCTGCCGTGACCCTGGCTGTGTGAGTGTGCAGATGACTCTCTATAAGAGGAAGCACAGCTTGGGCTTGAAGCCAGACACCTGTCATTTTGCGCACAGTGATTTCTACACGTTAAAGTCAAGCTCTTAATGAAACCAGTTATCCTGTATTAAAAAAAAAAAGCAATACTAAAATCACAATTAAAATCGAGCTGGACAATAAAAGCTCAAAGTTAAATAGCTTTTAGAGAGAATGATCAAACCACAATAAAATTGTGTGTGCATTGTATGTGAATGCATATAATTGCTGATGGAAAATAATAAAGAAGCATAAAAGACATGAGAAAAAAGCGGTGAAATAACAGTGTGTGGAAATTTTCAGCTCAAAAACCACATCACCTGATCACTGATAGTCCATGTTAGTATTGTTTTCCTTCTCACTAATCAATCAAATAGAAAAATAAACACAATGTTTTGGAAATAGAGTTCAAGCCATCTTTGCACCACTCTGCTGGAACATGTGGATGAGGGTGACGGAGAAAATAGGCCCGCAGGAGATGTAATCAGCGCAGCCCACTATGATAGTGACAGCAGGTTAAGAAGGGGATGGGGAGGCAAAGCTCTGTTTCTATGCCAGAGAAAATGAAAGTGGCTGGGGATGTGCTGTGCACACTAGTCAGTCAAATATGGTTGTTATCAAATGTGTTTTTGTACGTGTGTGTATGTGTGTGTGAGCGAGAGAGACAGTCGGGACGCAGCAGGAGAGGAATGCAGTCATGGATGTAAAGTGGGTGTGAAAACAGCCATGTTCGCTGACCCCCAGTCTGACCTCCCCATCCCTCCTCCCATGGCAGGATCCTCTGTGTGTGCACTGAAAAAATGCTTGAGAAAAAAATGTGTATATGATAAATCTTGCCTTTGTGTGGTAGTGTGTTTGTGTGTGTGTGGTTGCAGCTTGAGTGCCCCTCTGTCTGTGTGTATTTGTGGTGAGAACTGTTAAGTGAATGGCCCTGTGTTTAAAGTAGTCCAAGGGAAGCGGTCAAGAGGATTACCTTAAAATATAAGCTGCCTACCCTCCTCCTCCTCCTCTATTCTTGAAGGCAAATAGCACCTGTTGCACAAACACACCTATATACATACACACAATAGGCTTTTAGGCATTAACTGCATTTGATTTTCATAGCGTTATTTCTTAGATGAATTTATTTAGTATATATTACCTACTTATTTGCTGGAAGACACATTAATGAAAAAGTAATAAGAGATTAAAAAATGATAAAAAAAATCTTCACTTTCTAATTTAGCATATTGGTTTCATGTATAATTTTTATTACTTTTTTTATATTCACACACACACACACACACACACACACACACACACACACACACACACACACAGAGCTTATCTAACAGCCCTAAAATTGGAAAATTGGAGAAATATCACAGCATGTCAAAAGGGCAGGCAACATTCTGCACACGTATAAATCCATGTTAGGCCTACAGTTATTTCCCGTACGGATTTCCCACTTGAATTTGGGCCTGCCGCTCATTTTCTAAAGTTTCATAAACCCTCCTTGTGAGCATTTGTCTGGTTTAAGGCGACGACAGAAGCAGTTCTCATGGCGCACTCGAACTTGGATTTGTCCCAGCTGAGGGAGCCATCTCGCCTGCTCGCCACAGCGGGGCGTCTGGGCGCTGGAGCGGCGCCTTGAACCCCTTGAGCCCGCTCTCCATTCCAGGCTGCACACATTCACCCGGAGCCATCATCTCTCAGCATTATGCGTAGTTATCACACGGGAGGCTGTGAAGCATCATCAACCTTCGCTTCTCAGTCCTGCTAAACCTGTGGGACAGATGTGACCTTTCTAGAGTCGAATTTATTTCAATTGTTGATTAAATGAGAACAAGATTTTAATTGAATAACAGCAATATTGAAATCAGCGAGAAATACTGGCAATTTAGAGGAAAAGCCCGATTTTATATATTATTGTTCTCTAAATAATATCTAGATTGACTTAATTTTCAGTTAACGTCTGTATCCCCCTAGTATGGGCCTCTTTCCTTAGACAAAAGCACATTTGAATGAAGTTCAACTGAGCTGAGAGAGACAGAGTAACTGGAGCCCGTGGTCTTCTATAGTCCGCTGCGTCCGTTTGCATGTAATTAAATAGCGCTGCGCGCACTTATCCGACGCATCTGACAGCAGAGCATCTAAAAGCGGTCTCTGTCCTGTGCACTTCTTCCCCGTCCCCTTCCAGTTCTACGTCTCGGTAATTGAATTAGCTCAGTTTTAGGCGGGGGAGGGGCTTGGCATTATTCGAGCGACGCCCATTCAAATAATTTTAAACCAATGGGACTAGCCCCCGCTCCTCCGTAACCAAACCCACTTTCTCATTCGGCGTCTGGAGCTGCCTGCTTTTGCCCTCACCTTCCTGCGTGTCCCGGCGTTTTAAACCCAAACACAAGAAAGAGGAAGACTACACAGCGCGCACATGGGACAACATAAGATTTTTTTCATTCCTGCACGTCGCACGGTGGTTTATATATGAGGAGGACACTTTGGGATGCGGACATAAACAAGCGTCTCCACGGAGAGAAGTGCATGAGGAAACAACGCCGCCGGTGCTCTCCAACGCCGAGGACTCCTCCCCACTTCGGCCGTGACACCCCCGGTAAATCGCTGAGAAAGGCTAACAGTCTGTTTTTTTTACCGTAAAGACGAAAGCCAAAATATAACACTGTCATTCATCTGCCAGCGACTGACAGACTGTATGGCTTTAAAAAGTTGCCTGGAGAACATGGACATCTGACGTGCGCCACAGGGCGTCATTGGACACATTGAGCCTCTCTCGTTTCTCCATCACATCTTGGACTGATTAATCCCCTGCTTTGGGTTTGTAATAAGAAGTGTTCAGCAGTTGCCATTTGGCCTGACACAGAGTAGCTCCTGGCAGAAGGGGACCGTTATTCCACTGAACAAGACACTGTCTGGTGTTCTGCGCATTTGTATGTGCTGATCTCACTGTTTGTGCTTTAGAGAGAGATTTTGTTAGCCCACCACGGAATTGTCCATCAGAGCTGACATCCTGCATGAAATAAAGCCTGTAGTTCATCTGGATCCCCGTCCAGCATCAGAGAGAAACCGTGACGCGCTGGTTTTGCAACTTTACATCTCAGTCACCTGAACAAGTGTCATCTTAGGTGTCCCCCTTTAATGCACACGGTCTCTACTTTCGCTTCGCGTTTTCTATGTTGTGCGCATTTGTATTTGCTCAACAAACACGAACTGCACCAGAAACACACGGCTACATGTGAATGAGACTCACAGCCTCTCCCGGTTGCAGCGCCCGTATAACTCGACTGATTGACCTACGCTGAAGAGGAATACGTTCCGAAGTTTTGCTGTAGTGATGCTGCAAGTGGAAATGGTCCTCTTTGTCTGCCTGGTGCTGTTGATGTGTGTTTTTAGCCAGGAGCCCAGCTCCAAAGTGGTGGCCGACCGCTACGCCGTCTTCTGGAACCGGACCAACACCAAGTAAGTGGCCTCACATCGGGCAGGTTTACCGCGGAGGGTCGGCGACGTGCCGTCTCTTCGCATCTGCGTGAACCGCGGTGTTCGTAGGTTTGCTGGGTCATTCGGTGTTTATTCTCCGCAGTGAGGGCATAAGGCCAGTGGCAGTACATTCATACGTCCGAGGACAGGAACAGCAGTGTAGAATACTACTGTGTCTTATTTTTTTAAATACGTGACTGCTCACCCCCGAGGAAACTAGATTAAAACTGCGCCTAACAAGGCCTGGCCATAACGGCGGCTGGTGTTGCATCGCTTTACCCTCTGTCAGTAGGCTATTCCCCACATAATTAAACCCACAGTTTCGTTTTGAATTACCCAACTGGTGATACAGGGACATAACTGTAAAAGGTTATAAAACCCAGAACAAATCTTGGGTTATTTCTGTCCGGCGCACTCAGGTTGGGCAGCCAATTTACGCGACCCCACTGGACCCATTAACACCAGTAGTCTCACTAGTCTCACCCTAGACTAAACACTAAACAGGTCCACATCAGCACAAATCCTCCAAATCCATATACCTACTGAATGAGACCAACCATTTCCTCACTTGAGACTGTGTATAGGCTCGTTGCCTTGATTCGGAAAAGTTTAGTTGCACATAATGTATGTCTCAGACCTTTGTGGAGAGAAGGACAGCGTCTGTAGCCTGCGTGCTGCTGTGTTTTGGGCATTTACTGTGTGGCTTCTTAACAAAAGAGAAGTGACTCTAAATGTAACCAGTAAAAGCATAAAGTATCAGTCAATAATAAACAGCTCCTTCACGAAATTCAGTACAGGTACCATAATGCAATTTATGGGCGTACAGCGGTCTCAGCACTTTTAAAGGTACCTAAAGGAGTGCTTCATGAATATTACACAGCCACCGTGGCAGAAGAATTATATAAAACGACAAACTCACTTTCGAGTAAGACACAGTGGGTTGAATCACAAGTGAAACATTATATTTATTAATTTTGGTTAAGTTCAGGTATCTTCCAGCCACTAAAATACAGTTTTCCGTTTTCTGAAAACATACAAAGTGCAGCATTGCAATGTAGTATAGCTGGAGTAGGCTATATGTGGATACTCAACATTTGAATCACACTATTGCAAACTTTATAAAAAAAAATCTAATAAAATATGGTGGCTATAATAAAAAATAAAACAAAACTAAATAAAAAACCCCAAAAGTTAAACCGAAGGAATAAATTCTGAAAGCTAAAACCCAGCGTAGGGCGACTGTATGAAACAGTGACAGAGTTTCATTTCCACTGTGCTGTATGGGAGTGACCCTTTAAAAACTTTTGCAAACTTTCATTCTGTTTAACAGTGTGGAGTGTGGAACTGTTCCATAAATGGAATTCTACTTATTCATTTTCCTATTTTTGGCATATTGGTGAATGGTTACCTTTTCAAAAGTTTAGAAGCACTTTGTCCTGACCTCATGTCTAAAAAATTCTTCAGAGCTGTAGGAATAAAAGGTGTAGGCTTTCTGCTTTTCATTTACAGTAATAAAATGACAAATGTGTGTTTAACACTATAAGACCTTGTTTAAAAAAAAATCTAAAAATCTGTTGGAAGCGAAGTGAGGATTTCATTTGCTCTTGGCTCAAATGGGCCGCGCTCGAGGACTTAGGCAAAGTTAAAATAAAAACTTTCTCAGATGTGTTACAATCCTCAAGTCAAACCCCTCTCTGCTTGGACAGCCTTGAGTACAACTCGGTGTGCAGTGTGCATGTTTGTGGAGACAGCATTTCCCACTAAAAGTCCCTAATGGAGTTGGACTGTACAGCCTTGTTCCGGGCTTATTAAGTCTAAACACTGCTGGTGGAGTTTACAGAGATTTTTCAGTCAGTTGCTAACGGCACTTAGTATTTGTTGAGTAAAAGCCTTTAATAGCACATGCTGAATTTGTTGCACAACTATTTATACTCAGTTTGAAGTTTGGGAAAACATGATTTATTGCTTGAAGCAATTAGTGTGTCAGGGGTACAAACAGGAGGGCAGACTGTAAACTCTTTTCCTGACATCGGGACCAGTCCAGCGGGGTGTATAGATTCTCGGCCTGATGGCCTGATATACTGTAGACCATGGCTATTGTGGTTTGGTTCTCCACTCTCACTTACCCTTGCTGTTTATTTATGGACTGCTTTCTTGAACAGAGGCAAACAGTTTTGAGATAAATCTTGATTTTTGCTGTTGACAGACATACTTTCATCAAACTTTATTATTATTTTTTTTCAACAAAAAAAGTTTTGACTTGACTGGTCGCTTAGTTAAATTGATATCTTCCAGATGTGCTGACAAGTTTTCTGTTTCAGCGGAGAAAAAAAGTGTAGTTAGAAAAAAGGGAAAGTTAAGTAGCTCTACTGTTAATCTCAGATCTAACACACTAACACTGAACAAGAGAGAGAAGGCGAGAGCTCTGTGATCCACTAGTCTGCATGCATGTCATGCCATTTACTCTCTTTGGGTCCTCGGGAAAATCTGAGAAATAGATAGCTTCCTGAGCCTCATCTGTTTCTGTGGCTCTGACTTGCCCAAGGAATGGAACCAGGTTTTCAAAGAGGCTATAATGCCGCTAACACTAGTCACTTCGTTCTACTTACTCTAAATAGAATTTGCTTGACTCTCACCCCTGCGGGGCTCAGGCACGGAGCCAAAAAGGTAACAGAACAGCAGAGAGGAGACGAAGGGAGGGAGAGATACTAAACTTTCCTTACTGATGACTCGGTTAATAAAAATTGAGTCCCTTTCTTCATGCATTACTGTAGAGAGCTGGTGTGTTACTGTAACGCACATTCTCTGCGCCTGCCCTTGTTCTGAGGCAGCACAGTCGCACCGAAAGTACGGCAGCTTGGAGAAGTCACGCTGTGACCGCCCTGTGCACAGGGTCACATTTAAACTAATAATGTATGCATCATATATACTGCTAGATTGTAACTTAAAGGGTAGTTTGAGTGTGTTTCTTATTGACTCTAACTTTACATACTTTGTCTCAGATGTCTGAACACATTCGACTTCCTCCAGGAGCCATTTGTTGCCATTCGTTTTTACCCTGATTGAAACTGCAGCTTTCGCCGAATGGAAAAATGCCCAAAGTAGATGATACATCACACTGTAACTAGAGTTTAAGTTTGATTTAGTTACAAAATACTTTTTTTTTTTTTAAGTTATTGTGTGTTTAACATCAGTTTATAACAGTTTTACCTACAAACTTTTTGGATGGTATTTAATGACAGTTAATTTGAAGTTTAAAATGAAAAATTTGTGTTGAAATTGAGACCAAAATAGAGGAAAAAATCCACTCATTCATTACTTGTGGCATGTAATGTGCAATGATGTTGGGACCATGTAAGCTTGACAAAGACAAAAATAAGCTAAAACTAAACTAAGCTAAACTCAAGGAGCCACTTCCGCTGTTATTTGAGAAATGGAGAGACAAAACCTACTGGTGTACTTTCAAAGCTGTGATGGTAAAATGAGGAATCTCAGCTAAGGACGTTTCCTGTTTAAAATGAAACGTTTCGTTGATTAGAATTTCTGCTATTTGGTTTTTCCAGCTTTCATAATTAAAAGCAACTGGTAGATTAGCGTGGAATCGGTTTATAAGTATTGCCATTTGTTTTCATGGTGCCACAGTTGTTTCTAATGGGTGTTTAAGTTGTTGGTGATTATGGGTGGGGGATGTTTCTCTGCTGTTCTGCTGGCTTCATTCTGCCACTGTGTCTCACAACTCCAGCATAGACCAAAACTTGCTAACTGCTTTTAAATTCTGAATAACACCTAGGACTTTTTTTTTTATACATTTTTTTCTCTTTTAAACAAATCCACACATTCTCTCGTAGTTCTCTGTTGAGATTTTCTTTGTTTTTCATATGACTAACATTGTACTCATCAAAAAATTATTTCAAGGGCCATTCTGGCCATCCGTAAGAACTCTTGAAGTTTTGTCTGTCCTTAGAGAGTTCCTTTAACTTGAAATAACTTACAGTATTTGTCTCTGTGGAATCTGCCCTCTGCCGTTTCACTGACTGTCTTTGCTTGTGACTATTTATTCTAATTAGGGGACAGAGAGCGGGTCTAATGATGTCTCAGCTGTAATGCCGAGGAGACAGCCCTTCCCTTCCGTTCTCCCCCTGTGCCTTTTCTTCTTCCCCATATTCCTCCTTGCCTCTCTCCCGTGCTGCCTCTCGGTGCTCTGCCTCTCCCCGTCTCTTCCTCTCTTGCTCCCTTCCTCTCTCTCGCCCTCTCTCTGTCTCTCCTTGCCAGGCACAGAAAATGAATGAATACAATTAGATATTTCAGGAGTCCCTCCACGATTGATGGTGTAGAAAGACGTGCAGAGGTCAGGCACACTCAGAGAGGAGCTCAGGGAGAGTTCACATACATACGGTGAGGAATATCAGAGCAGAAAGTTGGTCTGTAAAAGACAAACTAGTAACTAGAACTCTCCTTGAAGTGATGGGTGTTATTGACATAAATAGCTTGACGCGGTTGTAGTCCTGCAAATTATTCAAGGTGATTTGTGTTTTGCTGCACAATGTGTGTCCCAACAAACAGTTTGGAAAGTACTTTCCTATCATGCTGCCCTGTTTTGTATGAGTAAATTTTACATTTTTATTCTTACAATGTAAGGTGACTGAAGGCACACATACAGTAGTTGTGTTGGTGGTATCAAAGACGACCTCCTGGCTCATCTTTGTGCATCTACATATGTATGTATGTGCTTTTGCATGTGCATGCAAAGGACCAAAATGAGCCATGAGGTCACATAGTATTTGATTCCTGTCCTTCAGAGACATAGACAACAGAACAGTTACATCTTCTTATACTTCGCATTATCTGTCTCAGACCAGGGGAACATGAACAAACATCTATGTGCATGCAAATGCTGGCTGCACTCTAGCAAAGACACGCTTGCATGGAGGTGGAAAGTTAGTCCACACACCCATCTGTCTCTAACAGATGTGAAAATTATA